ACCCTTGGTGTTGAAAAATCCCCCCCCCCCCCCCAAAGGAGCCGATAGGTGGATCCAAGAGCAGCCGCAAGCAGCTATAGCAGCTATATAGAAAGAAGAAAACTCCTTTACAAAACCAACTTATGAAAACGCTCCGGAAACGCTCACCTTGTATATCATCGTTGAACGTACAGTATTTGTTGCGATACTTGTTCAGGAGACGGAAGGCATTGGAATTTGCAAAGTCTTCAAACTGGATCAAGCAGTTCATGCCGTATCTGCAATTAAAAATGAATATCATGTTATTTAGCTATATGAAAGTTGTCAAATACGTAATGCTTGACATTTATATAATTGAACATTAGAGTTCTACTGAAGATTGCACATAAAAGAAATTAATTATTCTATTATTACAATAATTATTATTATACTCTATGCCACATCAGATTCTCCCCTTCACTTTTGCAGCTCCCACTGTGCAGAAGCATAAAATGACCCAATTCACATAGCAATCTGCTGGTGAAATCTGCATGCCAGTATGAGAACTTAAAAGTAAAATTTTAATATGCGGAGCACTTTAAATGGCGGACCTCTTAAAGGTGACAGCAAATTTTACAAATGTATTATTTTTCTGTACTAATATAGCGCTGGCAATTGGTGCAGTGATTTACATACTGTGCATTCAGTCAGTGCCCTCAAGGAGCTTACAGTCTAAGGCCCCTATTTCACATGCATACATACACAGACACATGCTGGGTTGATTTAAACAGAAGCCAATTGACTTTCCAGCATGTCTTTGGACTGTGGGTGGAAACCCACACAAGCACAGGGAGAACATGCAAACTCCGTGCAGACAGTGCACTGACCGGGATTCAAAATGGGCATCCTCAGGCAGATTGGGGGGATCCATTTAAACTAGAAAACCCTTTAGAATGGTTTCAGGAAAAAGAGACGTTCTCCCCATCTTCTCATAAAGTGTGTGTGTGTGTGTGTGTGTGTGTGTGTGTGTGGGGGGGGGGGGGGTTTTTGAGAACAAGTTGATG